AAGGGTCAAGTAGATGAAAATAGATAAAGAGAGGGCAAAGGAAAGCTAAGGCTGGAGTAAGGACAAAACACAAAAAGGTCAGAGAAGATTGAAGTAAAGGAAGAGTGAAAAGCAGTTTGTTCTGACAAGGAGTGGAGCAACAAAGTAGAGTTTAAGAAAAAGTTCCATCAGAGAAGATGAAGCTGAGCGTGAAGAATGTGGCTTTGCTGGCCATCACAGAAAACATTGAGATGGAGCTGTTTTCTTCAGGGGAGCTCTGCGTGGTGACATCAACACAGGAGACGGAGGAAGAACAGTGCTGTGACCAGGTGTGTCTTCTGTCTAATTGCATCTGAGCATTCAGGTTGAATTAGAAATTAAAATGACAACCAGACTGCTATTGATTTATTTAGTAATGCCCTGTTCTAATTTATAGAAAGTCCAAACAGCCCCCAGAATGTGACCTCATACCTTCAGACTAAAGCCATATAAAAGTTGCTCTATGTAAATGTTTTCCATTTATAGCTGGGGTCATGTGCTCTATTGAGAGTCTAGTAACTAGTTAAATGGAGCGAGATTAGATGCGGCTGATTCCTTTACAAATGAATCACTGTAAAGTTCATGTGCCTGGTCCACATGAGATATCACTGAGGGTTATCATTTAAGGCTTAACATAGCAAAAAATAACCTTTTGATTAAACCAAATACTGAAATTCACATTAAAGGTTTAAATCAACCAAATACATACTGCATGTTTGACAAGGACTGAAACAAGAAACATAGCTAGTCCTGCCTTGGTTTTGCAATAATCAAAAAAACTTTGTTGCATCTTAAGTACCATGGCATTGTTATGGTGAATCATTATTTTTATTTTTCTATTTTTAAACCCAGAAACACTTGGAGCATCCTTTGGTGCCTGACTGTGAGGAGGAACCAGAGCCAGAGGTCCAGACCCCACCACTCAGGCACCAGGCCAAGATAGAGGCCGAGCACTGCCCCCCGTTCCCAGGGTTCATGGAGGAAATTGAGATGGAAATGGAGGTATGCAAATAAATGAATAAATTGATAGGGCAGCAATTCAAAGGAGCATCCCATCCCCACGTTTTGTAATACTGTGGAAAATAAGTGGAAACTACAGCTTGTAAATGAAATGCAAACTCTGCTGAACAGCTGTTCAGCAGTTTGCATAGTTTTGTTTTTTTCAACCAAAACAACCGCTTTCTCTTTCCTTTCCTCCGTTCAGGTTTTTCCTCCCCTCAAAGTGACTGAGCGAGTGGCTTTAAAACCAGATGATCCTTCCGTCATAACCCTCGTACCGTCAACTCAGGTGTTATTTTGTCATTTCCTGATCAGCTTATCACAACTTTCGTGACTCAACAGTTCAGCACGGTAGCATGTGCAAACATGGAAGATGAAACTGTTTCTCCTGTTGGTTGGTTCTCAATAATATAAAAGTATAATTTGATGAGATTGAGTGTATTGGTAAAAATAGAGGGTTGTTGTGCACTAATCTTGAGCCCTTACGGAAAGACTGAAACCAAACAAATGGTGTTTACTGATTCAATCAATCAACACTTATCTCTTATCGGTGTTGAAGGTTTCAGGCATGTCTGCTCACGTGCTTACATGGTGTTTCTGCTTATTTTCACATGCGTGTTTAGTGTACAAAATGTCAGAAAATAAGGGCAAATGCCCAGAGCCCAATTGGTTGCCTTCCTAGCAAGATGTTATTTTATCTGAGCATCAGTTTGAACCACAAAGTAATTCACTTTATTGATGAAGGAAATTAATTATGGAAATTGTTCTTGATTGACTAATTTATCAACTAATAATTTAAGACTTATTGTCCTTTTTCCAGGATGGTTGTGCATTGAAAAAGCAACACATTTACAATATGAGAAACTGTGTATTGTCAACGTGATTGAACAATATGTCTAATCTACCTGTATGTCCTTTTGATTCATTGTGTGTGATGTCTGTGTACTGTAGCTGTCTCCAAACAAAGCCAGTCATCTTAAGTGGAAAAGACTGACTCTGCAGAAGACGGGACTGGTGGTCAAAGACGTGGTCTGTCTCCCCAGAGGATACTACCTGGAACAGCTGGAGAGGTGAAAGGTGTTATTGTAGTGTAAGATCATCTTTCCCGTCCACCTCTCTTATACGCGCTGCTCGGCGCTAGTGAGGACTAAGAGGGTTGTTCCTTTCTGTTCTTTCAGACACACTGTTCCACGAGGCAGAGAACAAGCAGCTCTAGCGGCCATGGGACTGACTGCTCGCATCTCCATCGATTATGATTGGTCGGCCAATCAGACGGAGAGTCGTCTGGCGACGCTCTTCCGGGGGCGGTTTGTAAAACGAGCCGGACAAAGGTTCTCCTTCACATTTCTACAGGTGTGTGTAGTGTATTTCTATCCCTGTGGGAGTTAGTTAGACTTTATATTCAATGGTGCACTCTTTCTGTAGAGGTCTCGTGTTACAAATAAAGATTGAATGTAGGATTAAGTTTAGCTTTCCACAAAGTAAAGTAAATCTTACATCTGACAGTGAATCTGGAAAGTTTCCCATTCTTCCACATTTTGGTATATTTATGTCTGACGGTATGTGTGGTTTCCAGTGTGTCATGGGTTCCGGGGTGCTATTTGTCCCAGACACTCCTGCAGAGGGCTGGACTGGAGAGCAGGTACTCGGGACCTCTGGACATGGTGCTTTGTACATCCTGAGCCAACAGGAATACCCACAGGTAAACCACAGCTGCTCTGTGTTTCTCTTTAAAACTGGGCTTTTCAGCAGTTATGATTAATTAAAGTACATTTCTAAAGATGTGACTCAATTTTATATCTGTTTTTAGTCCCACTTAAATATTCCTCCACAACTACATCATTAATTAAAGACATCAACCAATGTGTATGCACTATGCAGGATCTGTAAAATGCAATGCACGCATTGCATGCAATACATCAGCTTCACCATAAATCCAAAATGATTGACATCTGTCTTTTGGTATGTGACGTGAGGGCTCCAACAGATATGGATTCAGTGCTATGGGTATATTGCATACAAATAATGGTTGTGACGGTGTGCGAGTTCCCTTAATGTTAATGTATTTTTCAGCAATATATTAAAGTCATTAATTTAACTTTTACATACTTCTTCTAAGGTGCATATAATTATATACTCTTCTCTCAACAGGCGGAATCTGAGAAGTCAGCAAGCGAGACACCTGTGGTGAACAGGTAAGAAAGCAGTTGCTGTTCCTGCGAAGAAAAGTTTAAAAATTAAAAATGGTGAACCATATAATTGAATTCCCTAAATGTGAATATATGAATGTGCATTGTCTTTTGCAAGGAAGGAGTTTTGCCGGGGGAACATCACAAAGAGCTGCCCGGACAAAGACAATCAGCTGGGAAGACAGACCCAACCATGTGTTTCCAGCACCACAGAGGAGGTGAGTTTATTCCACTCAGCAGATAGAAAAAAGTACAAATCCAGTTTTTTGACCTAATCTTAAAAAGTTTTTCAATAGTCCAAGAAGCTAGGACAGGAAGGACACCATTTCCTCTTCATCTCCCTTCAAATCTTTCTCTATGGTGTGCAGTTCACACACGACCTGGACTCCATCCTGAGACTGTTCAGACAGGAGAACATGGATCGAGACGTAGAATCCCACGTCCAGGTGAGGAGGAAAGACCTGCTCCACAGCGCTCTGAAGGTGGTGAGGAGGCCAGACTTCTGTTTCAAGATGACACCCATCGTCTCCTTCAGTGGAGAGGAGACTGACGGCCATGACGGACCTCTCAGAGACTTCTTTAGGTTTTGATCATTATTATGATTATTGACTGTGAAATATAAACAGAGCTGTCAACGATCTCTGGTCTTCTACACTCCTGCAGCTTTTTTTCAGAATTAATGTAGTTTAAGGAATTATGAAAACCGAGTAATACTTGCTTAATATTATTCTTTGCTTGATTATTTATTAGCATGAGATCAAATATAAATAAATATGTTTTAGACCGACATTTACATTATTTGAGGATGAAATTGCTTGCAAAATGATTATCATCACAAAAATGATCATGCTGGAAAAAACAAACATTTCTTTATTAATTAACCTGCTGATTTTTATCTTCGAATTATAATAAATAGAAATTGTGAAAAATCACAATTTCCCAGAGCCCAAGGTGACATATTCAGATGTGTGTTGTTTGACCAACATACCAAAACCAAGAATATTGACCATTATTATTTACAATGATAAAAAGCAAAAGGGCAACAAATTGTCACATTCATTGCTGATGTAATCGTAAAATATTGCCAAGTAATCTTCTGTTTGACTAATTGATTAATCTTTAGAATTAATATGTTGTTTTGTAGAGGAATTACGTCTTTGTTCTTTATAATAGTCTACATAATATATATATGTGAAGCCCTGACATTTTTATATCCTCTTCTCACACAGATTGTCTTTGCTGGAGCTGCAGCAAAGTTCCGTGTTTGAGGGTCATCCGGGGCGTCTGTTCTTGACCTACAATCTTGAAGCTCTTGAAGACCGGAAGTATTACGAAGCAGGCGTTCTGATTGGCTGGTCTCTGACTCAGGGCGGGCCTGGACCCCGTTGTTTACACCCTGCACTTTTCCAGGTAGTGTGCATTGTCTTATGTAGATGGAAAGTTTCCTAAATCACAGTATTTAAAATGCATTGTATATTATTCATAGCAGCTGTGTTGAATTGTTTTTGCACGCTGATATTCTCTTAGTCATTGTATTGTATTTTATTGTCACAGTTGGTGTGTGGCCAGAATCCATCGTTGGAGGACTTCAGCTGGAGGGACATTGTTGATGCTGAAGCACAGATCAGGCTGCAACAGGTAACAAACACTCAGAAATCTCACACACCTGTACTTCGGACGGACAAAATTGGAAAAAGTAGGTACAATCAATTTTGGATTGCTGTGATTTATTTGATGCACAGCTGTATCATAGTTTTTTTACTGTATCATAGTTTTAGTTGTATTAGATATAAAACTATAAAGGTGGTGAAAAACAAAATGGTTAATCCAGTGTTTATCTGTACGGATGAGCGACTGTTTTCCAGTTTTTGTTTTGTATTGAAACTGTTGCACCTAATTAGAGAGAACCTGACCACAAATAGATGAACCAAACCTGTTTGCTTCCAGCCTTTGTTGCATGGAATTTCCATTTCACACCCTTGTTTTCTGTCAATTCCCAACTGTCCACTGTCTAAACACAAATTTAACCTCTGCGGGGCCGTGCACATCCACACCATTTGGCATGCACACACACACACACACACACACACACACACAGAGACACACCATTAATGCTCCTCTGCTCCTCTTGTAGATGCACAGTTGTACTGATGTGAAGCTGCTTTCTCCCAGTCTGTGTGACTGGGTGTCAAGTGCTGGGATCCCTGGAGTCAATTCAGCCCATTCTGATGAACTACCATCCATCTATGTCCGCCTGGTCAAACATTACATCTACTACAGGTTTGACACTAAAACCAGATAATCAAATGCAATCACACACTTGTAGTTCACGCCCCATACACTGGTTTGGAGTGTAGTGTAACTTTTTTAGATTTTAGTACTCATTGGCCTTTGATCGTGTGTCTCTAAGGCTTGCATTGTTATGTAAGGTAACCAGAAATGTATTCATAAAAGTACTGCATGTCCTTTTTTTATCAATTGAAGTGACTCATCAGAACAGTAAAAAATATCTGTGCTGTTTCATTATTTAGCAAACACCAATTAGCATATCCTATTCAAAAACAAAATAGCGGAGTGAGCCAATGAAACAATCCCACAGCCTGTCTGCTGTCCTTCAGGGTGGCCAGTATGATCTCCCAGTTCACAGAGGGGCTGAACAGCTGTGGTGGATTGTGGGAAACGGTACAGTCCAACTGGGAGGAGTTTGTGCCTGTGATGACGAGCGCACAGCAGCAGCCTCTGACCGTGGAAGAGTTCAAACAGCTTTTCACCATCTGCTACAGCCGTCCAGGCAGCCGGCTGAGGCTGACCGAGGAGGCAACAGCTGGACACTGGCAGAACGTCCTTACTTTGGTCAGCGGTAAGAACGGAGGGATGCACTGAGGATGAGAGTGAAAAGGTGTGTCAGGGTATATTATGGGAAGTTTTTAACAAAAATGTTTCCATGTCCACAATCAGATGGTGAGGCAGATTTTTCCTTTGAAGACCTCCTCGCCTTCATCACTGGAGCTGATCATCTGCCTCCTCTCGGTTTCCCCAGATTGATCTCCCTACGATTTTACTCCCAGGTTGGTATCTATCTCACAAGCCAGCCATTGTTAAATTACTGTATGCTACAAACTGATGAATTACATGCAGTACTATCCTCCCTGTTGTCCTCACTGGGCCAGTACTATTAGGGCCCTGCCTGTTTTATCCTGCTATTGACTGCCTGCTGACTCCTGACTCACTACTCTTAACTGGCCGCTGCTGGTGGGGGTCGCTAGTGATAACACAGCTGAGTGCATCTCCAACCCCCATCCGCTACTCTGTGTCCAGAGAGGTGGGATTACAGTTTAACAGCTAATGGAAGGAAGAGTGCAAAGTCTCTGCAAGTTGTCGCAGGCGCTGAGTCATGCACCTCTGAATTTTTGTAAATAGGCTCCTGCGTATGCTCAGGACTTTTCCAACGTGTCACAAATAGTTTATTGATAAAAGCACTATTAACATGTCTGAGGATTTTACAAAGAAGACCAATTCATTTTTAAATGCAAAATAAACAGGAGGTCTGACAAATCTTTTATATAAATATTTTTCCAGCCAATTCAAATTGTTGACAGGATACTCAACTTTTGTTTCATTATAATGCATATAATACTATAATATTAGGAATAATGTCAAATCAATGTTATTTAAAATCAAACGGTAAGTATTTTGTGGTCGGATTTCACAATTAGGAAGATTAGAGATGAACTTTAATGTCATAGTCACCTCGCCTTGAATACATTTTCCAGGACGCGAGCATGTCAGGTGCACGGCTGCCTCACGCCTCCACCTGCGCACTCGAGCTCTTCCTGCCGAGGGGAGCAGCAGGGGCTGCAGACCTGTTGGTGCTGCTGAGCAGAGCCGTGCGTGAAGGCCTTGGCTTCACACGTTTCCAGACAGAGGGAGATGGAGAGGGTGGCTGCATAGTTTCTGAAGTGGATGGATTATTGAGGTCCTGCTGAAATTGACTTTGTGGAACTCAAAGATTTCTGTAAACTATGAACGATGTGACTGTAAAGAAAGCCAAGCATAGGTGCTGGTCTGTGAACAGTTGGTCACTATAACTCACCCGACCTGATTAGTAAGCCGAGATCAATGTTTGTATGTTGAAGGCTTTATTCATTCAGAGTTAGGCGTATAATAGCAGCTGTTCACATACTTTCATTTGTTTTGTTTCATGGGAAAATTGTCTTTCAGAAGAACAGAAAGGAATGGTTTGCGAGTTTTGGCTGTTGATCAGATATGATGAATTGTGTCAACATGCTGTACTCAGTTGTTGACACAGAAAAAGATAACTCCATAGATGAATTCTTCAAGTTAAGATTGTCATCAATGTTTTATTTTAATCTTTTAATAGTTAATCAAATATACTAAACTGTGATAAAGATTGCACCACACTGCGTCTTTTTGACATCTTATAAATAGCTAGTTTCTTGCCTTGTTTCTCTGCTGATATTTATACATTGATATATTGAGGAAATGTTTTACAAAATGAATGGCAATTCATTAAAACATTTTAATGTTTATTTTTAAAGGATTTATTAAAAAATACAAAGAATAAGTACTTCAAATAGATGTCTCTTCATTCATTTCTTTAAATGGCATAACACAACATGAAATAACATCAATGCAAATCTTATCTTGTAAATCTAGTGTTGCATCAAAGCAAAACCAGACAGTCTATAATGCCTATATAGCCTTAAGTGAAAGTAAAGGGCAACAAAATGTACACAAATTAAATAATTTATATTTAATATATTAATATTTCTAAATTTATTTTGCTGCAGTGCATTCACATTCTGGTTAGGAAGATGCATTCTATAAGCTTGAAAAATAAGTTATTGTTGGCACAATGACAGACCATTAATTTTTTCCTTTTCACGGTTCAATCGTCGTCATACACTTTGTATGAGAAACTCACCATGGTTATTGTTGCCAGTGTTTATGTGAAACGTTTCCTCATTCATGATGAGAGTGCAGTGTTTCCGGGCAGCTCCTACAGAGCATGGGAATTATTGAAGCCTCTTTGACAGATCAGATTGCTTGGTTTGAGCTTCCTACTGTGCACATTCACTGCACATCTTCAGTTCTTGGGGATATTGTTCAGGGATTATAGAGTGAAAATGGTTCCTCATGTTGACCCAAGAGTTTGACAATAATAATGATAAAGATGCAGAAGAAGGGAGTAAATCTAAAATTTAAGTCTCTGTGTTTAATCAAAAAACCTTTTTGTTCAAACACCTGGAGCAATCAAGATACTTCTGGTCATTTTGAGATGTTGGTTGTAGATCACCGCAACACAGTGGAGTACAACGGCATTTGATATGTTATGCTCAAATTGTCGAAAGACTCTTTCCAGATTTGAAGAAACAATTAAGGTGAACTACCAGTTGACGTTGTGTTGAAACAATTCTACCAGCATAACTGTGAACCGCTGTCTTTAAACATCAACATGAAGCTTCTATTGGGCAACTCTAGCCCTTTGAATGTTTGCCACGTTGATTTTGTGAGCTGTTCCATTCGGGAGCTGCTTTTCAAAGAACTAAATTAAGAGAAAACACAGAGAATATACATCAGGAGATTCATCTCATTCCCGTCACCCCACCCTTTATCATGTGTGAATGCATGATCATTGATAATGTTAGCTGAAGATCCTTCACAAAACGGTTAATTTATACACTGTTTTACATACCTCTTTAACATGTTCAATGATGATTCCATTGCTAACCTCTCCAAAGACAGTTATCTTCATCTGAAGGGCC